GGGGGTGTATAAGGGTGCCTGATGTGGCGGAGGAGCAAATGTGCCCTCTGGGTCCAAAGGAGAATTTGGCCCAAGTGGAAAATTTTATGATCTACCAATTGACAGTCCAGGAGCAAATAATTGAAGATGCCTACCCATCCTAAGATGACCGTTGGAAAAAACATGCTCCCACCTAGGCTGTATCAGAAGTGTGTCAGTCTAGAGCAATTCCCGCATACGTAAGGCGTTGTTAATTTTGACTGAATAGACAGAACTGAAGGAAACATTTGAAATATTTGAAGAAAAGTATTTGATAAATGAGAGTAAAGTAGTGCAGTGTGAAGAGAGAAAAAGTGCAGATGCAGACTACTTCTATTTTCTTAATCTGTATAAAAATGTTTCATTTATAAATGCAAAAATATTGATATTGAAAGCTCCCTGTGGTGAAGGGTGCTTGTGTTTTGGGGGCTAGAGACCCAAAGTTGACTCTAAATACTGCCAGTCAATTATTAAAATACAAATATACTATTTATCAGAATTCTGCTAGATCAGGTAGTATGATTCCTCAGTATTATTGGGCATTAACTGACCAGGTCCCTCTGAAGAATCTGAGTTGCAAGAATCACTTAGAAAGTTTATATGAGAATAATGAATTCAGAATTAATCTTTAGTGCTTTATTTGGCAAGTTACTATAAAAACACATTTCTTTTCTCAACATAGTCATATGCAGATTTCCCCATTGTTTAGAAACTGATTTATGACTTTATGACATAAGACATCTAGACTCTTAATAAAAGTGATTTAATACTTTAGGGATCATTTTCTGTTGTATAGATAAAAATATTACTGTGCAGTCAGTCTTTGCTGTCTACAGCTAACCTTGAAGAGAAAAGGGGTGTGAATTAGAAAACCATTTCTGGAGTTCTGATATTCCTGTGAAGGAATAAAGACTCTACAAAATAGTTGATTCAGGTATCTAAAAAGTAAGAAATCTCGTGAACTAAAAGCAAAGAACATTAAAACACCAGTCACACGCTGGGAAAATATAAAAGTTAACAAATATATTGGAAAATTACTATTCTCTGTTTAGAGGCACACAACTAAAATTACCTAAAGATGCCAGTCAGTAGCTTTCCAAGTAGCAAAATATTTTTAAATCAAATGACAAAATGCAGTTATGTCAAGGCTGCATTGAAACTAGCAATTTCACGGAAAGTAAGATTCCTAGACAAAGAAAGGATGTGCTACATCTTTTTAGATACTAGATAACAATGTAGGCTATACATATTCAGTGCCTGTAAGTTTATTCTTGGCAAAATAATTCAATGAAAGCAAATGACATAATCATGAAGTTCATTGAAACATTACTTATAATTCAAAATTTAGAAGTAATACAAATAAAATATTAGAGTAGTGATTTAATAAGCTAAGTATACCATCATTTTGTTATAGAATATAATACAACCGTCAAAATAATATTTTTAAGGTTATGAAATAATGCTAGGTAAAAGTTAAACAATGTATATACTACCTTGAATATATGTAAAAATGTGTGTATGTTTGTATGGCTGTATGCAAACATTAAAGTAGTTATTGTGTATATTAAGATGGTATGATTGAAATTCTTTAATATTAAAGCTTTTCAGTAATTTTTTTTCTTAAAGAACCACTGATTAAAATCCTACTGAACTACAATGTTAATGCATGTAGGGAAAAGGGGAAAAAAGGAAAGGAAGAAAAACAAACCTTTGTTTTTAATCAAAGGTATAGAGACTGTGATCCCCCCCCCCCCCAAGTTATTTTGAAAACTAATTCTCCATTTTGTGTTGCTGCTTATAGTTACATAAAATTGAGACTCCTTGGAGTTAGCTAGGATTCTCTTTTAAGGTGCAAATAATACTTTAAAAGAATGCTCTTAGTAAATTTGTTTAATGATAAACTTTTCTTCTTAGCTGAGATTGGCTTCTTTGAAAGAAGGGATGCTTGGATGGAAAGTGGAATTAATGGAAGAGAGCAATTTTAGTTACAGCTGTCTTGGGTAGGATACGGAGATGAGAGGCCTTGGACCATCGGATTGTGGTAAAGTCAGAGGGTGCAGATGAGAAGGGAATCACCTGAAGGAAAGAGAGATGTGGAATCTGAAAGGGAGTTGGGAAGACTTCAACACCCTTGAATTAATTTCCAGTTTTGCCCAGAGTCTGTCCAGATTCCTGAAGATGCTTAAGATCCGATGGGGAGAGGGAGTAATTATGATACAAGTAGCAATGGATAATGTGCCCATGCAAAAAAGGCCAAGATGACTCCATAAAAATAAGATTAACCATGTTATAATATTTGGAGCCCTTTCTGTTTCATTTCCTACAATGAGCGAAATAATTGGGACAGTTATATTTAATTAGGTCAATGCAGTGACACTTTTTCTATTTTAGCTATAGGTGTGTATAACAAAGTGTATATTCAGAATATTCTGGAAGAGAAATGTTCTTGTTGGTTGATTTCACAAGAAGAGTATTGTTAACTATAAAGTCCTAGAAGTCCATATAAACATAGAAATTAAAATTCTTGCAGTTTGCTAACAATAAAATATTAATATGCTATAATCAGATCAGACTCATTAGTTAAGGACACAGATATGACCAAACAGATATTTTTTATTTTACAGCATTTTTTAGAAAAAAGTATTAAGTAAAAAAACTGCCAATACTTAATATTGGTATGAGAGTTTGCTTTAGTTTTACATGTTGCTTATAAGCGAGAAACTGATCACAGTGCAGGCATTTTGAACTCAGTAACTGCGTACATCAGTAGCTCGCACTCTCTTGGTTTCAGGCATTCCCATTCTTTGTCTTACAAGCTGTTTCTCCTCCTTCCGAAAGTCTCATTTCTAAAGACTTAGTTTAAGCATCTCCTACATGAGGACCCTTCTCCCCTCTGAATTGGGTTAATTGCCCCACCTTTGTATCTTGATAGAATCTTGTGCTTAGTATTTGACAAACTGTTTTGTGATCATTTGTTTTTCTCCCAAGACTATCAGGTCTCCTAATACAGGTAGGACATCTCTCATGTATCTCCATTGTTCAGCCCAATAGTTGAAATATAGCAGGTGCTCAGTTTTTGTTAACTAGGTTGTATAAGTAAGAGAAGGCAAAGGAATCATTGGATAAACCTTTAAAAAATAAATAATGCATTAGGTTCTATTAAAATCTGAAAACCAGAAAGTGTATATTCATCACTATTTATTCACATCATATGTCGGATTATGTTTATTTCTTGATTTAGGTATTTTTTGTTGGCAGAATTTGTGCTAACCGTACCAGAGTTTATCATAATCTGAAGCATTTTAAATTCAAGCTATACCAAGAATGTTGCTCCATGGCAAGGACAGAAAAAGTTGAGAATGAACAAGTTAAAGAAACAGTGGAAAGAATTTTCAGTGAGTCAAAAGAAAATGGCTGGATTGACAAGGTAAGGAGAATATAAAATAACCATCTCATTTAGTAGATTCTGGAGCCTAATTATGATCAGTGAAAGGATACCAATGATTAGAAGGCAGCAAAATTTAAAAGAATCTCTTCTTCTCTCCCAATCTTTGTGTTTTCTCTTTTTTCACCCATTCCTTTCACGCTTATCATTGTCCTACCCTGAATAGGTACCCTGATGTTCTAGGCATTCGTTCAGCTCTTCAGGTAAATTTTAATCAGCAATAATACTGTCCCATAATGAAGGCTTTCTGTCCTTTCACTTTTATATATGTGGCATTCCTTACATATATATTAAGTCCTCTTATTTTCTTTGACAAAGTGCAGGACTCACCTCTCCTTGTCTGCTTCCTGATCTTTAGAACAGTTCTTGTGACCTGAGAGCGAAGCAGCATCTGGTGCCAGTCTGTGGAAAGGATCTTGGCTGCCAGTTTTAATACCTCCCACATCCTCTCCTTGAGGACATGGGACTCAGCAGTGAGCACTGTGACTGAAGATCAAGGGGCTTTGCAGAGATTTCAGGCCATGGGCACTGATTTTTATTCCACCATATCCTGTTGCTCACTAAATTTGGCATCAGGGACCAAGTGGGGGTTTTGAAGAGTGCACTGGATTCCTGAAGATCTGCTGGCAGCTCATAAGCTCTGGTCTGCTCACAGAGCTTCTAGACTTGTTTACAGTACATGGAGAGAATGCTCTTATGGTTGACACCTTTAAAACAGGTCTAGTTACCTGAATGTGTGAGAGAGAACATATAATAGATTTTCAGGCAACTCCGATCCACAGTATATTTAATCTTTAAAAAAAAAAAAAGGGTGACTTGAGATCCATTGCCTGGGTTATTTATATCGTACAGGAATTTGTGAAAGAGTAAAAATAAAAAAGAGAGCCCAGAGAATAAACTTATGAGCAAAAGGAAAGAAAAAGAAAACAAGAAAACAGGAAGTTCTTTGGATGTGTCATGTTGGGCAGAGGTCTCCGGGTCTGGAAAGGACACCAAGATTGCCTTCCCTTTGATAATTATCCTCCCACTGCAGACCACCACCCAGTGATCTAGCTTTGCCTGCTCCCCACATTTTGACACTTGGGTCTTGTTTTTCTTATTTGACTCTCTTCGGCTTTTTATCTTTCACTTTGCTTCTGCTTCTCCCTCCCAGTACTTGCTGCCCTGTCTTCTGTGCTTTTCAGTTTGCCTTAGGGAGGAGCCATCACTTACCCAGTAAGTCCTGGCTTCATTTTCCTAGACGACATTAAATTCTTAAGTGCTTTTATTGATGCATTTAAGTGTTGCCAGCCCTCCAGTGGAGTTGAAAGACCTATTGGGACAGCACATTTTTAAAGAATTGTGTACTAGGTGTAGAAAAATCACTGTGCATGTACTATATATATTATACAATTATATATCTGGGAAGGACAATAAAATTTTGCACAAGAAACTAAAACCATTTTTAAATTAAATACTTTAGAGAAAGCGTAACAGGATTTGTGACAACAGAAGGGACCTGGAATAAGAAAAAAATATCCTTAGGAAAAGAAAGACAAGTGTCATATTTCTGCTTAAAGAATAACATTTAGCATTGGGCATTGACAGTATTTCAAGATGGTACATGTTTAGAACAATATGCACATTTTTTCACATAAAATGCCAAAAAGGTTCATTTTCTTTAAAAATATTTGTCCATAGACTTTCTCAAAAGATTTCCTGGAAACTAAAGAAGCTTGTAGCTAATATAAACCCATATGCAGCTTTTTGTGCTGTGGTTAAATTTCCAAACTGACCAGATGCTCTGACATTTCTCAGCAGCACTCTGCCCACCCCAGTGTCTGTGTTTTGAGTGACAGCACTGCGTGTGTTCTGGTGATGATGAGGTGACGATGTCTTCTTGGGCCACTGTCTTGTGGCCACAGTTCCTCTGACCCTTTAGAGTGCCAGGGCTCAGTGCTACTTGAATGGCTATATATTTGTGGCTCTTTTTGTGCTCTTGCCTCCTAATTACTGTGTCAACCCCTTTTGCCTGATACAAACTATTTATTCTGCCTTTCTTCCCCCAGCTTGTTTCATACCTTGCTTTCCCCTTACCTACTCTTTCTTCCTCTAAGCATTTTCTTCCATCATCTCAGGATATCTCAGCATTTCTTCCCCAAAGCCTGCCACCTAGACTGACTGGCTTCTTGTCTTTCCTCCTCACAGCTGGACTAGCAAGATCTGTTCTTAACCTAATTGCATTAAAGGTTAGGAGCAACACGAGTGTTAAAAAGAACATGGTAAAATTATAATGAAACCAAAATATATATAATAAATATAATAGTAGTAGATGTCTCATTCTAAATTAGAGCTGAAGAACATACTGTCATATGCCACTGGGAAAATTGTAACATTTTTTTGTTAAGAAGAAAGCGCATATGATGGTGTTTCCAGGGAAGTTGAACATAGTTGGGGTGGGGAGGTGAACCCATGAACACCAGGAAGTGAAGGAAATATGTCACTACAAGATTAAGTTTCAGTTTTACAGATGTATTTAAAGTAAATTTGAAATGTATAAATATTTTTACATAAATAAGAATTTTAAATTATGATTGGGCGTATCACCCCTTCCCGAAACTCTTCTCACTTGTGCTCTTTCTTTACCCCTTTTTAACTTGAAAAAGTTTTCTTCCACTCCTTAAATTGATTCCTTCTCTAAAACATGGCCCTATTTGGATGTAATCTCCGGAATTGTACTTATTTCTGAATCGATGAGATTATGGTGATTTTTATTTTCTTTTTCCCCAAAAAATTTTCCACAAAGCAGGTATTATTTCTATAAAAAATAAAATTGAAAAACAACAACAAAGAAAACAAAACATGGACCTAAACTCCCTATGTCAGAATCACCTAGAAGTTGGTGAAAATGCGTGGTCCCTTGCCTCACTGCAGGCCTACTGAATGCAAATCCTTGGGGGTGTTAAACACCCAATGTTTAATGTATTAGGTGATTCTTAGCAAATTAAAGATTGAGGGCCCCTGCTTAAAAGTAAATGTTGCACTAGGTTCACCCATTCCTTTTTTTAACGTCTAACCGCTACTTCTGAGTACAAGACTCTAAACTTCCTTTTGTGTTCTGACCTCTTTCTCATACTCTATTCCCGTAATTCTAGCTGTTTTCATCAGTAGTCCATCTGGCACTCTAAGGGCTTGACATAAGACCCAAACTCTCCAAATTTTTAACTAAAAAAATAATGGAAGCAGAATCTTGACGTACAGAGAACCAAAGGCCAGGCAATGCTGCCTTCTCTCTGAGTTTCACTTTCCTTTTTTCTTTCTTCACACTAAAGCTACACCCCGCCCCCCTCCCTTTAACTCTCAGAAATAACATACTATAATGGTTAAAAGCATGGATTTAATTATGTTCTAGCAGTAGAATTTGGGGGCAAGTTTCTTCACTTCTGTAAGCCTAAGTTTTCTCTTCAGTAAAATAGGAACTAAATAATAATAGAGTTTTGATTATGGAGATTAAATAAGTAACATATTTTAAGCATTTAGTATAGGACCTAGGAATTAGTAAGTGGTCAATTAATATTAGCTATTACTAGTAATAAAAGCAAGGAGAGGTTTTCTTTCCTTAGTGTAGCTCAGATTGTAATTTTCCAAAATAAATTGAAAAAAAACAAGAGAAAAAAAGAATATAAAGAAAGATAATCTGAAAAGCATAAAAACAGTCACACTTTTAAAGTATAGGCTTCTAATCCTGGAGCACTTATATCTAATAGAATTGTCTGGGTACTGGGTGAAGAGGATCCCTAAGGAGTCCATAGGTTGTTTCTTCTGTCCTTTCCTTCGTTCTTTTTGAGTCAGAGATCTCTGTGGGTGGGGGGAAGGTTTCCTGGCCCTGTCTGGAAGGAAAATGCACTCTTCATAGACCCTTCCATTTACCACAGAAGTCAGAGTCGTCACCTTACTGGGACAAGAACCAGAGTTCATAAGTAGAGTTAGGAAACCATTAGTCAGTTAATCTCCACCTCAAGCACTGTGAACTCTCGCCCCTGATATCTCCAAATCATCCTGACTCTTCTCTCTCTCCTATCTTAACCCCTTTAACTTTCCATTGCCTGACACATAATTGCTAAACGCCTCANATCTCCACCTCAAGCACTGTGAACTCTCGCCCTTGATATCTCCAAATCATCCTGACTCTTCTCTCTCTCCTATTTTAACCCCTTTAACTTTCCATTGCCTGACACATAATTGCTAAACGCCTCAACCTAGCATTTCATACGTTTTATTCCCTGGCCTCAACCTCTTTGGTTCAGTCTTGTCTCTCTTTTCCTCTAAAAAACCTGATTATAGTCAAACCCCATACTTTTCTTATCTTGTCACTGTTGTATGGACTGTTGCCTCCTACAGAACTTTTCCCACCAAATCTTTGCCTATCAAATCTTTTTTCACAGGACAGCTTAGATGCCACTCTTTCCTGGTCACCTCAACTAACCATGACCCCCTCTTCTGAAGCCTCAGAACAGTGTCTGTACTGATTCATGGCATTTGTTATTGGTTGTCATTGGTGTGTTACTACTTAACTCTGTTCTCGTTAAGGGCAGGGTAGCAATTTGTATCTAGATAGTCATTAGCAGAGTATTTGATATATGTTATGCATTCACAAATTTTTGAATAAATTACTGAAGTTACACTTCTATAATAAATATATTAAAAATATATAATTTACAAGAAAGTTATGAAGTTAATAATAATGTTCCCTTTGATCTCTTTCCAGTGCTTTATATGAGTTAGACATGATCATTTAAAATTGAATCCGTTTATATTAAAAAGATTTTTGTTCATGATTACCATGAAGTGAAATTGTTCCTGTTTGTGTCTGTAGATTGAAAAGGCCTAGCTTATCTTCATTGCTTTGAGTAAAATAACTGGTTTTTATATTGTGTACACAGAAATATGATCTACTTCAAAAATATCTCAATGATGCGGATTACTTTCAAGATGAGAAGTTTGACTTGTAACACCTTTCCTTCAGAGAAGATTTTTGAAATTTATGCAGATGTGAAGATCATGAATCTTATTTCTCTGTATCATGTGACATTTATATATTTTATGAATATCTTCATGGCAAAGTATCTTTTTTAAAACATGTTCATCTTGATTCCCATGAAGTGGCATTCTATAGTCTAATAAAACTTTCATCTGCTGTACTTAGAAAACATAAGCTTAATCATTTTTAAGTGTATTTTGAGTTATGTAACAATACTTTTTAACATGATTATCAAGTGAATAAGTGTTCATGTCCTGTCAGTTTAATAGAAAAATACTGTATTTTTAAAATGTACTTAGACCCACATTGTCATGTATGTATTGCAGAATCCCTGCCCAGATCTGTTGTTTATCCTATTTTCACTAATATATTTTTTACTACTATCATGTAAATCAGTGGGCCATGGAAGAAACCTCAACGTTTCTTTCACTTCAGTCCCCTTGCCTCAGAATCAGACTATAGTTTACCCATTCCAAGTAGAGGAGTGCTTTTTCTTTTTTCTAAAGTTTCCCCTAGAAATTTCAGGCCTCCAGAGTTTAACCCTCATATTCAGGAATCATTTTATATGTATTTTCATGCTTCACAGTGTTTTCTTTTTTCTGTTTAATTTTGTCTGTGTGTTAATGATTAAGATATATTTTATTTTTATCCATAATTTTCGCATACAAGTATTTATGTTAGAATCAGAAGATTTCAGAGAGATAGCTTCAGCCAAAAATAGTTTAAAAGCATATTTTGGCATCTGCATTGTTTTGCACATCTAAATTTTCCCATAATATAATAAAAGTAAAATGGTTTCAGATGAACAAATGGACCCTGTCTATTCTGTGTCTTTAATTCCTAAAAGTGGTGTTCCAGCAGAATCTATTTTACTGTAATTTTAGATGCTTGTTTCTTCAAATGTTGGTTGAACCTGGCTTCATCTAATATGTGGTTCATTTCCTGGACGTCAGTGTATTTGCATGCATAAAAAGCTACATTTTATTTAGTCCTTCATCAAGGTTACTTAGTATTTTCTGCAATTAATTTTCTGAAATAATTCCTATTATTAATTGTAAACAAAACAGGTAGCAAAAACTCACAAAGTGGTGAAAACACAAATGCTGATGTCTCGTGAGGATTCCAGACCTTATTGCTGATGTCTGAGGTCACTTCAAGTGAGCAAGCTTCCTCAGTGGGTGTTTGGAGAGAGAATACAAGAGGCTTTCAGTACATGAGAGCAGCAAAGAATGACAAAGAGACAGGCTGTTAGGAAATGAAAATCAGTATAGATCGGGGGGCCAAAAGCAAATAGGCTGTAAAAAAACAGAAAAGCAGAAAAATAGAATTCACTTTTACAGGTATGACATACTGTATTATTTTTATCATCATATCAATCTTCCTTATAACACTAAAAAGAAATCATTTGTAAACTTATAAATACCACATGTCTGTGAACTTTTTAGATCTGGGCATTTATTTCTATAGTGTAAGACGCTTTAGTGTTAGGTAGCGATGGATAGTAGAGAGGATGGGAAAGACAAAAATGAACAAATAAAAGGGAAGTGGTGCTTGAAAGAATGCATAAGGCTGTACAGAAGCTTTAGGGTTATAAGAGAGGGGAAAGCACCATCGAAAGGGAAAAACAAGGAAAAAATTATTTTATGGGCAGTTGGATTTAACTGACCAATTTTTTTTCTCACTTGTCTGCTCTCACATTCAGATGAGTGGCTCTATTCACTACCCCTTTCTTGGCAGTATTGTAGGACTTGCTCAGGCTCCAGCGTGTTGATGGAGGTGTAATTGCAGCCCTTGAGCTATTTTGGGGATAGTCTGGCTTCCCTGTAACTCTTTTCACACTTGATATTGAAGCAGCAGGCCCAGTGGCTACGAAAGCATAGGTTTGAAATCAGTCTTGAGTTCAAGTCCTGATCTGTTATTTCCCAGTTACATGTACTGGAACAAGTAGTTTAATTTTGATGAGCCTCAGATTCCTCATATATAAATGGGGTTAACAATACCAATCTCTCCAGATAGTTTGTGTTTTAGGGGAGATACATGCTAAAGGCTGTCCCTGAAACCATGATTGTAAATAAATAGCAACGATGTGGATGATGATGATGTCGGCCTGAAATGAAATGACTGTAAAGTGTAAATGTATACAAACGACACTAAACAAGTGTCCTACACCACTGGAATATAGCATGAAAATGTATTAAACTCTTGCTTGAGAATTTGTTAAGGTGTCCCTGTCTAGCACAGAAATAAAAGTTGACGTCATTTAGGAATAGCAGATTTGACCAAGGACTTTGTGTTATTAATCAAAACCCACGCTACTGCATGACTGTTAGAGGGAACAGTAAGTTTTAAATTTAAATATTACTTTTTTTTTGCATTTATCAAGTATGGTTGCTAAATACAAAGTACTCATAGTAACAGAATGTGTAATGAATACTTTTTAAAAATCAAATATAAAATTATCAAAACTTTTTTAATAACACCTCCTGAGAGAGTTCTCCATTCAAATTTGCATACCTACCCAAGATATATTTCTGCCTTTTTCCACATGAGTGGTGAGGAACTTAGCCTGGGAAAGGACAGAGAGAAGTGTATTCCAGGGAAAAGTATAATTATATTCCATCAGAGTGTACTTGCCCCCAGTTCCAAACATTCCCAGATTTGTGGAAATGAAATGGACTAAAATAGGCCAGCTTACCTGGAACTAAATTGTAAATAAATTGCCTTTAAATGTTTGCATTGATTTTACCCACTCCTATTCACATCTCACTTTGAAGCAGGACCATGTTACTGAGACACCAGAGTTACTTTAAATTAAAGCACCATTGCTTGAGACCTCAAATCCACTGACTTCCAATAGCACACACAGTCACAGCAATTATGGTCCCGACTACCCCAGTATTACTCTCCATAACTGATGACAAGCAGAATTCAAAGTACAGTGTGGGGATCTTAAAGACAGGGTCATCTGAAGATGAGAGGTCATCAGTCTGTGTGAGAGATCTGGCTTGTGTTCTTAAACTTCTTGAAACTCGCCGACTACATACCGATTTTCCTCATGACATAGGTAAACCAGGTAGCCACGGAGACCTCAGATCTTGCATTTGTTTTGTCATTGGCACACTCATATTTTCAAAGAAAAACTTTTATTTTTTTGCCCCCTAGAACTAGTAGTGGTGATTTCATCATAAAGTATGTTACTTGTCCACTGATTTGCTTGTGATCGCCCAGGTCCAGAGAACACCCAGGAAGGATACCTGCGTGCCCTTGAGGAGCTACGAAGGAGACGGCCCCTGCTCTCCACCCCTCTACCCCCCTCCCCAGCACGTGCACACCCCTACCGTCTACTGATGAATGTCTCCCCAGCGCTCACCCAGCTCTCCTAGGGTGCTCGGTGGTGTCATTTACAACATATTGAAAAATGAAAATGATATCCTTGGGGGGGGGAGGGGTGTCATGTAGGTCTGAAAGGGAAAATACATTCCCTGGCCGGGGATTTCTTAAACATTTACAGCTGATGAAGTAGTTGTGTAGAGGTTGGGGAATTTCCCGGCCTTACCCCCTTCTGCCAAGGCTGAGGCTGAGGCTGAGGCTGAAGTGAGGCTGAGCTGAGGCTGAGGCTGAGGCTGAGGCTGAGGCTGAGGCTGAGGTTGGGCTGAAGCTGAGGCTGAAGTGAGGCTGAGGCTGGGCTGAGGCTGAGGCTGAAGTGAGACTGAGCTGAGGCCGAGGTTGGGCTGAGGCTGAGCTGAGGCTGAGGCTGGGCTGAGGCAGAGGCTGAAGTGAGGCTGGGCTGAGGCTGAGCTGAGGCTGAAGTGAAACTGAGCTGAGGCTGAGGCTGAGGCTGAGGTTGGGCTGAGGCTGAGGCTGAGCTGAGGCTGAAGTGAGACTGAGCTAAGGCAGAGCTGAGGATGAGGCTGAGGCTGAGGCTGAAGTGAGGCTGGGCTGAGGCTGAGGCTGAGGCTGAGGCTGAAGTGAGGCTGGGCTGAGGCTGAGGCTGAAGTGAGACTGAGCTGAGGCCGAGGTTGGGCTGAGGCTGAGCTGAGGCTGAGGCTGGGCTGAGGCAGAGGCTGAAGTGAGGCTGGGCTGAGGCTGAGCTGAGGCTGAAGTGAAACTGAGCTGAGGCTGAGGCTGAGGCTGAGGTTGGGCTGAGGCTGAGGCTGAGCTGAGGCTGAAGTGAGACTGAGCTAAGGCAGAGCTGAGGATGAGGCTGAGGCTGAGGCTGAAGTGAGGCTGGGCTGAGGCTGAGGCTGAGGCTGAGGCTGAAGTGAGGCTGGGCTGAGGCTGAGGCTGAAGTGAGGCTGGGCTGAGGCTGAGGCTGAAGTGAGGCTGAGGCTGAACTGAGGCTGGGGCTGGGGCTGAGGCTGAAGTGAGGCTGAGGCTGAAGTGAGACTAAGGCTGAAGTGAGGCTGAGGCCAAGGCTGAGGGGAGGCTGGGGCTGGGGCTGAA